GGTTCTCTCCCCCAGATACTTGGGTCTTCTTAGCTTTCTTACTTCCACCTTGATCATGCTTCTCCCACCTTGGTGTCTGGATCTCTGTAACATTCCCATTTCTAATACATTCCTGTTTCCCCCAATCCAAGGCCTGGGTCTCTACACTATTCTCTTTTTTTACTTCTCTCACATTCTCCTTCCCACATGACTGGGTTTGTGCAGCATCCTGACCTCCAACCTGGTCCTTGTTTCTCCCCTCTTCTGTCTGAATTTCCACATTAGCCTCACCTTTCATCTGATCTTGTTTCTTCCACCGTGGTGTCTGGGTCTCCTCACCATTCTCATCTCCAGTCTGGCCTTGCTTCCCCAATCCTTGAGCCTGGATCTCTTCCCCATCCTCCCCTCCGGCCTCTTTCTTGGCCTTTCTCTCAAATGTCTGGGTCTCCACAGCATCCTCACTTCCATTCTTATCCTGGTTCTCCCACTCAGGTGTTTGGGTCTCTGCATCAATTTTACATCTTAACTGTTCTTGGTTCTCTCCCATATGTGCCTGGGTTTCGGGGGGATTCTTACCTCCAGCCTCCCTCTGGTTTCTATTCCGTAGTTCCTGAATATTGGTTCTACTCTCTACTCCCATCTGGTCCTGGTTGTCCCACCCTGGTGTCAAGATCTCGCCATCAGTTTCACTTATTACTAGTCTCTGGTTTGCACACTCCAACACTTTAGTCTCTGCATCACCCTCCATTCCAATGTCTACTGGGAACTGCTCCCCAGATGCCTGGATTTCTGAAGCATCCTCCCGTCTACTCCCTGTCTGGTTCATCCACCTTGCAGCCTGGGTCTGTCTACTATCCTCTCTGCCTGCTGTCTGGTTTTTACCCCCTGGTTCCCAGGCCTCTGGTGGACAGTCCCAAGATTTCCAAGTGCACATTCTCAGTGTTTGGTGGGAAGGATCAGACAGGAGCTCTCTGGGACAGAACTGCAGCCTCTGAGCTGAAAGTAAGTTTGGAAGAGAGGTGGTTAAGGTCATCGAGTTGGGGTGAGACCTCATGCTGATGACAGACTCCAGTGACACCAACCTTTCCTGTGAGTGAAGCAACAGCTGCTCCATCTCTTGACACATATCTAAGGCAGGGCGAGTCTGACCATCACGGAGACACCAAGGCACCTGCCACGCTTTCCAGGAACTATCCTGAGGCAGTAGACAGGTGTTTGAAATGGAAGTAGTACAAAAGATGGGCTGAGAGTAGGTGTGGACACCTGAAGGTGGGCCTGGACATGGGTGCTGTAGAGAGAGCAGGTTCTGGGCCCATGATTCCTGGAGGCTCCTCCGGTATCCCCATCTCTGCCTTTGTGCCCATTGTTGAGAACCTAGGCCCCTGGACTTTCCAGGACTGAAGAATTTAGGAGTCAGCTCGAAGACAGTTTCGCACCTCATGGAGGGCACTGCCCGTTTCTGCAGTGGCACCTGTAGGTGAGAACAGAGAAGCAAAATCCTTGAACACATAATAATTTGCATAATCCACACAGACAGAATAGTCAGGGAAGGCTTCTTGGAGGAAGTGACATTTGACTGGAGACCTGAATGAAATAAAGGGTAAACCAAGTGACATCTGAAGAAAGAGCGTTGTAGGCAGAGGAGACATTAACTACAAAGGCTTGAGGATGGAACAAAATTACGTGTACAGGAACAGCAAAGAAGACCGTGTGGCCAGAATGGAACCAATAACGAGGAGAGTACTGGGAGATAAGATTGGAGACAAACACAGGACAGATTACGCTGGTCCTTAGAGTCATGATTAGGAATGTGAATTTTATTATGAGTTTGACGAATAATATAAGTACAGGAGCCACTGCAGGGTTTTGAGCAGCTAAGTGCTACGTTCTGTTTCCAAAAGTTTGTTCTGATGGCAGGGCATGGTGACTCATGTCTGTAATCCCAGCACTTTGGGAGGCCAAGATGGGTGGATCACTTGAGGTCAGGAGTTCCAGACCAGCCTAGCCAACATGCCGAAACCCCATCTCTACTAAAAATACAAAAATTAGCCGACCATCGTGGTGCATGCCTGTAATCCCAGCTACTCAGTAGGCTGAGGTACAAGAATTGCTTGGACCCAAGAGGTGGAAGTTGCAGTGAGCCAAGATCACGCCACTGCAGTCCAGCCTGGGTGACAGAGCGAGACTCCATCTGAAAAAAAAAAAAACAAATCCACAGAGTCGGCCAGGCGTGGTGGCTCACACCTGTAATCCCAACACTTTGGGAGGCGAAGGTGGGTGGATCACTTGAGGTCAGGAGTTTGAGACCAGCCGGGCCAACATGGTGAAACCCTGTGTCTACTAAAAATACAACAATTAGCTGTGTGTGGTGGCACATGCCTGTAATCCCAGCTACTAGGGAGGTTGAGGCAGGAGAATCGCTTGAACCTGGGAGGCAGAGGTTGCTGTGAGCCAAGATCGCACCACTGGACTTTAGCCTGGGCCACAGAGCAAGACTCCATCTCAAAAAAAAAAAAAAAAGAAAGAAAGAAATCTGCAGAGGTGGCCGGGAGCAGTGGTGGCCGCCAAGGCAGACGGATCACATGAGGATGGGAGTTTGAGACCAGCATGACTAACATGAAGAAACCTCATCTCTACTAAAAATACAAAATTAGCTGGGTGTGGTGGTGCATGCCTGTAATCCCAGCTACTCAGGAGGCTGAGGCAGGAGAATTGCTTGAACTTGGGAGGTGGAGGTTGAGGTAGGCTGAGATTGCACCATTGCACTCCAGCCTGGGCAACAAGAGCAAAACTCCATCTCAAAAAAAAAAAAAAAAAAGAAGAAAAGGAAATCCGCAGAGTTGTGACTGCAAACTTCTGGGCTGCTGGTAATTATTTGTTTCTTAATCTGCATGCTACAAACTGATGTATTCAATTTGTGAAAATTTACGATCTACATACTTGTAATTTGTGTGTGTGTATTATCCTTGGGCCAATTTTTTTTTTTTTTTAAGAGAGAAAAAAGAGGCCAGGCGCAGTGGCTCATGTCTGTAATCCCAGCACTTTGGGAGGCTGAGGCGGGCAGATCACGAGGTCAGGAGCTTGAGACCAGCTTGGCCAACATAGTTAAACCCTGTCTCTACTAAAAATACAAAAAAAAAAAAAAAAAAAAAAATTAGCTGGGTGTGGTGGCAGGTCCCTGTAATCCTAGGTACTCGGGAGGCTGAGGCAGGAGAATCACTTGAACCAGGGAGGCAGAGGTTGCAGCGAACCAAGATCACACCACTGCACACCAGCCCAGGCAACAGTGTGAGACTCTGTCTCAGAAAAAAAAAAAAGAGAGAGAGAGAAAGGAGAAGTCCATTCTGGTGACTGTATGGAGGATAGGCTGTTGTTGCATAAGAGAAGCAGTAAGAACCGGGCAGAAGGCTGTTGCTATGGTCCAAGTGAGACATGATGGTGTCTCTGCCCAGGAAGGTGTGGTGTGGTTGGGAGAAGTGATCAGATCTGAGATACAATTTGCAAGTATAGCCCCTGGGACTTGCAGATGGATTGAATGTGTGGAGTGAGGGAAAGAGAGGAGCTCAGGGTGACTTCTGGGTTTGGGGCTTGGCCGATGCTCTCCCCGAGCAGCCTGAGTTTCCCTCTGATTCATTTCTGGTACACCAGCCATAAAACAAGGTCCTTGTAACAAGTGACAGAGACAATCATGGTGCTGAGGGAAGGAGGGTGAAAGTGTATGGGGCCCACTCACCTTGATGACATTCCTTGTGCTGAAGCGGGTCCTGGTGACCTGGTGCCAATAGTGCCGGACCTGCCAGATCAGAAAGAGGCAGAGGACAAGCAGGTTGCCACAGCACTGAGGGTCCCTACAGCTGTGATCCTGGGAAAGCAGGCCGTGCACTGGCTCCCACTCAGGGCCATGGAATGGCCCCACCACGGCACAGGCACCCAACAGTGACAACAACATGGCAAAGTTTAGACCAGGCAGATGGTGGTGGGAGCTAGGGGGCAGACCTGGCACATCTGATGCAGCCAGCTGCAGTAGGATAGCTGCCACCTCATAGCACCCCTGTCACTGAGGCCACCTCACAAAGCGGGCTGATGCCCTATCCTCAACTCTGACCCTGGTGCCAGGGCTGGCTAGCATGCTCTTGGTGCAGGTAAGGACAGTATTGGGGAATTGCTCAAAAGTAATTAAGAGGAAGAACTTGTTTTAAACAACCCCATCCTCTGGAATGAAGAGATTAAGTTCCCTGAATGTGTGATGGGGTTATATAACCTGCGGTCTGCTTGATTTCTTTCTTCCTATGAGATACTTGGATCTGCCTGTCCTTCTATCTATTATCAAACATTTAATAAACACTGTATTGAATACATGTATTATTGTTTAACCACTCAGCATCCCTTTCTCGTTGCTTGCAGTATCCTGATTTCCCGTGGGGTAATTACTTTTCCCATCTTAGGATCAGTGTTGGTGGGAAAATAAATGCTACCCTGAAGACTCTTTTACCCAAAGGTTCTATTCAAAATAAGTATCTGAGCGGGCAGGGACGTCAGCCAATCATAATGAGCCAGGACTTAACCGTTTAGTGGCTGAATTTTTTGTTTTTTTTCAGACCGAGTTTTGCTCTTGTTGCCCAGGCTGGAGTGCAATGGCGCAATCTCTGCTCACTGCAACTTCCGCCTCCCAGGTTCAAGCAATTCTCCCGCCTCAACCTGCCGAGTAGCTGGGATTACAGGCATGCGCCACCACGCCCGGCTAATTTTATATTTTTAGTAGAGACAGGGGTTTCTCCGTGTTGGTCAGGCTGGTCTCGAACTCTCAACCTCAGGTGATCTGCTCGCCTCAGCTTCCCAAAGTGCTGGGATCACAAGCGTGAGCCACCGCGCCCGGCCTTCTTTTGTCTTTTTGTTTTTTTGGGTGTTTTTTTTTTTTTTTTTTGGTCTTTGAGTCTCGCTCTGTTGCCCCAGCAGGAGTGCTGGAGTGCAGTGGCACGATCTCAGCTCACTGCAGCCTCCACCCCTGGGGTTCAAGCGATTCTCCTGCTTCAGCCTCCCAAGTAGCTGAGTTTGCAGACGCCCGCCACCACGCCTGGCTAATTTTTGTATTTTTAGTAGAGACGGGGTTTCGCCATGTTGGCCAGGCTGGTCTTGAACTCCTGTCCTCAAGTGATCCGCCCACCTCGGCCTCCCAAAGTGCTAGGATTACAGGCATAAGCCACTGCGACCGACTGGTGGGTTATTTTTTGAATCTTTAATTCATTGTTTCTGCCAATAATTTGTACTGGACAGCTCATAAGAACGCCAAAGTACGTTCCTTCATCAACACAGAGCCAGTTTCCGCGCCAGTGCCCCGTAGGGGGCGGGGCCCGCTAGCTCGCTTGCGTAGCGTCATCTTTGCTTCCTGCCGCGCGGGGCCTTTTCCGCTGCTGCTTCAGTGAGTTTTTCCGGTGGAGGCGAACGCTGCTCAGAAGTCGGCTGCGCTCTCCTAGGAGTGCCGAGCCCGCGGAACAGCAGCCATGGTGAGTGCGTGCGCCGGCCAAGGGACCGGGAATCAGGAGACTCGGGGTTGCGTTCACTCCCTAGCCTGTTAGATGAAGGCTTAGACCCTGCGCCGTCTCATCCGCCGGCGTTGGGTCTTAACCGCCGGGCCCTGAGTTAGAACTCCAGCAGCCGCGGGTTCCCAACAGCCTGGCCCGAGGTTAGAACTCGAGGTTAGAACTCAGGAAACCTCAGGATCCCCGCTGCTGTGGTGCTTTGCCGCACGATCTGTTTGCGTGGCAGAAGGTCTGCGGCGAGCGGAGGGGGCATGGCCCAGAGGGAGAAAGAGACCAACCCACGTGGGAGAGGGCAAAAAGTTGGGTGAAGAAAATTTGGCTCCAACTTTTTTTTCCCCTTGTTTCGTTTCGTACGAAATCTACGATGGCGTGGGACCCTGGGATTCGGATCAACCTCTCCTACCCACCCTACCTCACCCCACCCCCGTTGCTGGGGTCCAGGAGATCTCCTGTGGGTGTGCGCCTAGTGCTCGCCGCGAGTCACACGCGCCAGGGACCTAGAGGAGACTTTGGCGTTTGGGGGCTGTGGGGAACATGAAGTGAGCGCGACTCACGGCCTGGAGTGAGTCCAGGCCTTCTCCTGCAAGGTGGTGGCTTCAAAACCCAGAAGTCTGGTAGCACCACGTGCGGCGTCTCTGAACTCTTGGTCGTCTCTGACTTTTAAATATCTAGGGAAAGTTTAAAACGTGTGTCCTGGCGTAGTCGTTTTGGTTGGCACTTGGTGAGGAGGGAAGAATTTGCAAAGCACTGTAACTTCTATAGTTAATCCTTCCAGCGGAGCTTGGATCCCGGCGGTAGCACTCCCCCCAAACCTCCTCCTGTGCATGTTGAAGCTTAGTACGTGGCTGAGCCTAGAACTCGAAGCTTTCAAACTCAGTGCTCGCTTTTATGCAGTTCCCTGAAACGTTTTGGAATTGGATGGTCTCAGGTTGAACTTTGCAGTTTTCCTCAACTGTAAAATGGGGATGACAGTGCATGAGGATGTTGTGAGGATCAGATGAAATAAAGCATGTTAAACATCTAGTCCTCATGCTTGGCACAGAGTGAGCACGCAGTATTTGTTGTCCAATCAAAACCTTGCAAGTTTTGGCTGTCTGGTGTACAGGGAAACCAAACTGATCACGCTAGGTAGGGATTTAGGTTGGCTGGTGGTATGCTATCATTCATGAATTTATTTAACCTCTGAAGAAATTGAAAGGCGAATAAATACACCCTAAGCAAGTTTCAATTAGTGTTTATAAGCTAGGTAGTTTGGTTTTAAAATTGAGTTTAACTTTTTGTTTACTAATAGTGAAACATTTAGGTATTTGATGGCTGTTCAGATTCCTGAAGTTTTCCTCTTTTATGAATTTGATATTTATTGAGAGTTGAGGATCCTGATTTCCAGAGAATGGGTTGTTGGAAACAACAGCAATTTTATTTTATTTTGTATTTTTTTGAGACGGAGTCTCGCTCTGTCGCCCAGGCTGGAGTGCAGTGGCCGGATCTCAGCTCACTGCAAGCTCCGCCTCCTGGGTTCACGCCATTCTCCTGCCTCAGCCTCCCCAGTAGCTGGGACTACAGGCACCCGCCACCTCGCCCGGCTAATTTTTTGTATTTTTTAGTAGAGACGGGGTTTCACCGTGTTAGCTAGCATGGTCTCGATTTCCTGACCTTGTGATCCGCCCATCTCGGCCTCCCAAAGTGCTGGGATTACAGGCTTGAGCCACCGCGCCCGGCCACAACAGCAATTTTAGAAGTTTTTTTAAATTGACATATCATAGTTGTATGTACTTTGGGGGTTCCACGTAATATTTTTAAGTATATCTATTTTAAAATGTGGGACAGGGCCAGGCACGGTGGCTCATGCCTGTAATCCCAGCACTTTGGGAGGCCGAGGCGGGTGGATTATGGGGTCAGGAGTTCAAGACCAGCCTGGCCAACATAGTGAAACCCTGTCTACTAAAAATACAAAAAAAATTAGCCAGGCGTGGTGGCGGGCACCTGTAATCCCAGCTACTTGGGAGGCTGAGGCAAGGAGAATCGCTTGAACCTGGGAGGCAGAGGTTGCAGTGAGCCAAGATCGCGCCACTGCACTCCAGCCCGGGTGACAGTGTGAGACTCCGTCTCAAAAAATATAAATAAATAAAATAAAAGGTGATAAATTATTAACCAAAATTTCCAGCCGGGCACGGTGGCTCACACCTGTAATCGCAGCACTTTGGGAGGCCGAGGTGGGCGGATCATGAGGTCAAGAGTTCAAGACCAGCCTGACCAACATGGTGAAACCCCATCTCTACTAAAAATACAAAAATTAGGTGGGCATGGCGGTGCGTACCTGTAATCCCAGCTACTTAGAAGGCTGAGGCAGAAGAATCACTATATCCGGAGAGGCAGTGGTTGCAGTGAGCTGACATCGTGCCACTGCACTACAGCCTGGGTGACAAAGCAAGACTCTGTCTCAAAAAAAAAATAAAATCCCTACTGTAGTAGCAAATAAAACATATTTGTATGGCCGGATGTAGTGGCTCACACCTTTAATCTTAGCACTTTGGGAGGCCAAGGCAGGTGGATCTCAACTCATTGAAACCTCTGTCTCCCGGGTTCAAGCGATTCTCCTGTCTCAGCCTCCCAAGTAGCTGGGATTACAGGCATGCACCACCACGCCCAGCTATTTTTTGTTTTTGTTTTTTAATAGAGACAGGGTTTTGCTGTGTTGGTCAGGCTGGTCTCAAACTCCTGACCTCAAGTGATCTGCCTGCCTCGGCCTCCCAAAGAGCTGGGATCAGCCTAAACAATTTTTTTTTTAAATTAGCCAGGTGTTGGCCGGGTGCGGTGGCTCACGCCTGTAATCTCAGCACTTTGGGAGGCCGAGGCGGGCGAATCACAAGGTCAGGAGTTGTAGACCAGCCTGGCCAACATGGCAAAACCCTGTCTCTATACTAATAATACAAAATTTAGCCTGGCACGGTGGCGCATGCCTGTAATCCCGGCTACTCGGGACGCTGAGGCAGGAGAATCTCTTGAACCCGGGAGGCGGAACTTGTGGTGAGCTGAGATTGTGCCATTGCACTCCAGCCTGGGCAACAAGAGCGAAACTCCATCTCAAAAAATAAAAAATAAAATAAAATAAAATTAGCCAGGAGTGGTGGCCCACACTTGTAGTCCCAGTTACTGAGGTGGCTGAGGCAGGAGGATCACTTGAGCTCTGAAGGTCGAGGCTGCAGTGAGCTATTGTCATGCCACTGCACTCTGGCCTCAGTGACAGAGTGAGACCCTGTCTCAACAACAAAAAGGTAATTCTTTTTTTTTTTTTTTTTTTTTTTGAGTGGAGTTCCACTCTTTCACCCAGGCTGGAGTGAAGTGGCGGTATCTCAGCCTACTGCAACCTCCACTTCCCGGGTTCAAGCCATTCTCCTACCTCAGCCTCCAAGCAGCTGGGATTACAGGTGCCTGCCACCACGCCCGGATAATTTTTGTATTTTTAGTAGAGATGGGGTTTCACCATGTCGTCCAGGCTGGTCTTGAACTCCTGACCTCAAGAGAGCCACCCATCATTGCCTCCCAAAGTGCTGGGATTACAGGTGTGAGCCACTGTGCCTAGACTGCCCCAGCTAAGTTTTTAAATATTTTTAGAGTTGGGGGTCTCACTGTGTTGCCCAGGCTGGTCTCAAACTTCTGGCCTCAATCAGTCCCCAGCCTCAGTTTCCCAAGTTGGTGGGATTATAGGCCTGAGCCACTGCAGCCAGTTCAGAATACACTTTTCAAACATGGAACATTTTTGAAAATTGGCCATAAAGCAAGCCCTGCAAATTTTAACATTGTTAATATTACATACCATTTTTGCCCTACCCAAATGGAAATAAGTTAAAAATTAGTAACAAAGTATTTTGAAATGAAAAATATAAACTATCAGATTTTTAAATTGTAGTAGGAGGCAGGACACGGTGGCTCATGCCTGTAATCCCAGCACTTGGGAGGCCACGGCAGGCGAATCACGAGGTCAGGAGATGGAGACCATCCTGACTAACACGGTGAAACCCCATCTCTACTAAGAAAAAATACAAAAAATTAGCCGGGCGTGGTGGTGGGGGCCTGTAGTCCCAGCTACTCAGGAGGCTGAGGCAGGAGAATGGCGTGAACCCGGGAGGCAGAGCTTGCAGTGAGCTGAGATCGCACCACTGCACTCCAGCCTGGGCAAAAGAGCGAGACTCCGTCTCCAAAAAAAAAACCACACATGGCCGGGCGCGGTGGCTCAAGCCTGTAATCCCAGCACTTTGGGAGGCCGAGTCGGGCGGATCACGAGCTCAGGAGATCGAGAACATCCTGGCTAACACGGTGAAACCCCGTCTCTACTAAAAAAAATACAAAAAAAAACTAGCCGGGCGAGGTGGCAGGCGCCTGTAGTCCCAGCTACTCGGGAGGCTGAGGCAGGAGAATGGCGTGAACCCGGGAGGCGGAGCTTGCAGTGAGCGGAGATCTGGCCACTGCACTCCAACCTGGGCGACAGAGCGAGACTCCGTCTCAAAAAAAAAAAAAAAAAAAAAAAGAAATTCTTAAAAAACACACACACACACACACACATTGTAGTAGGAATTCAAAAATGGAACAGAACAATAATGAAAATACCACATACCAGAGCATAAGTGACAAGGGCAGAGGGGGGAAGAAACAAATGAAAAGATATAATGGAAGTATCACTTGGAGCCTACGATGCTAACGCTAGGGAGAAAGGGGCTAAAAAGGTAGGAAAAACACACAAAGACAAAATAACCCTAAAGAAAGTAGAAGGAAAGAAAAAAACAAAAGGAGAAATTGCTGAAATAGAAAGTAGAGCATACTACTAGGTCTTTTCCTTTCTGATGCCCCTCTTTCTCACCAGAGAGAACTGTTCTTTTTTTTTTTTTTTTTTTTTTGTCGGTGTGGCGCTCTTTCGCCCAGGCTGGAATGCAGTGGCCAGATCTCATCTCACTGCAAACTCCACCTCCTGGGTTCACGCCATTCTCCTGCCTCAGCCTCCCGAGTAGCTGGGACTACAGGCGCTCGCCACCTCGCCTGGCTAGTTTTTTGTATTTTTTAGTAGAGACGGGGTTTCACCGTGTTAGCCAGGATGGTCTCGATCTCCTGACCTCGTGATCCACCCATCTCGGCCTCCCAAAGTGCTGGGATTACAGGCTTGAGCCACCACACCCGGCCGAGAGAACTGTTCTTTCTCTTTCTTTTGCCTATTAAACCTCTGCTCCTGGTGAGGCGCAGTGGCTCATGCCTGTAATCCCAACACTTTGGGAGGTTGAGGCAGGTAGATCACCTGAGGTCAGGAGTTTGAGACCAGTCTGGCCAACATGGCAAAACCCAGTCTCTACTAAAAAATATAAAAATTAGCCTGTCATGGTGGTGTGTACCGGTAATTCCAGCTACTGGTGGGGGCTGAGGTAGGATAATTGCTTGAACCCAGGAGACAGAGGTGGCAATAAGCCGAGATCGCACCATCGCACCTCTACACTCCAGCCTGGGCAACAAAGCAAGACTCCATCTCAAAAAAAAAAAAAAAACCTTGTTCCTAAACTCCTGTGTGTCCATGCCCTAAATTTTCTTGGCACAAGACAACAAACCCCAGATATTTACCCCAGGCAACGAAGCCAGTTCAGTTTGACACTGTTATCAAAGTTTTGGGGAATTCGTCACTGTCATGCATTGCTGGCGGGTGTGCAAGTTGTTAAACCCTGTACAGGGTCAGTTTGGAGTAGATATAAAAGTTACAAATGCATATTATATCTTTTGACTCATTAATCCCACTTCTAGGAGTTTATCTTACAGATATACTGAATGAAACATAATATAGATTAGGTATAGATGAGATTAGACATTATAGCATTTATATAATAGTGAAAGATTAAAAATATATAAATGGGCTGGGCACAGTGGCTCACGCCTGTAATCCCAGTACTTTGGGAGGCCCAGGCAGGAAGATTGTTTGAGGCCAGGAGTTCAAGACCAGCATGGGCAACATAATGAGACAGTGCCTCTAAAATTAAAAAATGAGTCAGACGTGGTGATGCATGCATGTAGTCCCAGCTACTTGGGAGTCTGAGGCAGGAGGACCACTTGAGCCCAGGAAAGTCCCCTTCATAAAGATTAATCAAAAAAATAAGGCCAGGCGCGGTGGCTCACTCCTGTAATCCCAACACTTTGGGAGGCCAAGACAAGCGGATCACTTGAGGTCAGCAGTTGGGAGACCAGCCTGGCCAACATGGTGAAACACCGCCTCCACTAAAAATACAAAAAAATTAGCCGGGTGTGGTTGTGCGTGCCTGTAGTATCAGCTACTCTGAAGGCTGGGGCCGGGGAATTGCTTGAACCCCGGAGGAGGTTGCAGTGAGCCAAGATGCCACTACAGCACTCCAGCCTGGGTGACAGAGCGAGACCCTGTCTCTAAAAAGAAAAGGTTTAAGTGAGTAACATGAAGGAGACACGCTCTATAGACATTAAAAAGAAAGGATGGCCAGGTGTGGTGGCTCACGCTTGTAATCCCAGCACTTTGGGAGGATGACGCAGGCAGATGACCTGAGATCAGAAGTTCGAGACCAGCCTGGCCAAAGTGGTGAAACCTCATCTCTACCAAAAATACAAAAATTAGCTGGCCGTGATGGCGGTCACCTGTAATCCCAGGTACTCAGGAGGCTGAGGTTGCAGTGAGCCGAGATGGCGCCACTGCACTCCAACCTAGGCGACAGAGGAAGACTACGTCTCTAAATAAATAAATGTATGAGGAAGAGAAAAATAATATGGAGGTCTTCCCTCGACCTCCCCCAACCACCTTCCTTTAGAGAACTCCTCCATCCTTCACCTAATTTCTCCTAGTTGTCCTGGGACCAGGAAAGGTTCGCCTAAGATAACGAGTTAGGGAGAAGACAGGGAGTCCGGGTGTACAGGCTGGTCCTGGACGTCACTTCCGCTGGCGGCAGTGACGTCACTTCCTGCTCATGGGGGCGGGGCATCCGTGTCCTTGCGGTGCGGGGCAGCAGACCATCCGGACCTACAGGCGTGGTGTCCTCGCGGTGTCCAGCGAGAGGCTACCAAGACAGACGCTATGGTGAGTGTTCCTACTGGGCCCCTACCCACGGGTCACCTCCCGAGAGCCGCGGTGCCGCAGGCGTGGTCCAGCAATGTCAGAAAAGCTGTAAAAAAATTGAAGGAGAAAAAGGCAGGCGCGCGGTGTCGGGCAGGAGACCACCGAGACAGGCGCTATAGATGAGTGGTCCAACCTGGCAGTCTCCGTCTCCAGCGACTGCCGTCCACCCTGTGTCTAGCCTCCAAGGCCGAGGTTAGGTGGTAGCCGCAGCAAGTCACTCGCAATTCGCACCTTACACTCGATGGCGACATGCGGGGCCGCACCTGCGTTATAATATGAATATATCCTTGTACATAAATATGTGTTTGTAAAAAAAAGAAGAGAGAGAGATGAAAGTAATGAAATGGTTAACTGGAGCAGTGGGAATGCGATGGAAGGCGCGGAAAAGGAAGACCACTCACCCAATTTGCTCCGTACATGGATGTATATTTATTTACTGAGACGGAGTCTCACTCTGTCGCCCACGCTGGAGTGCAGTGGCGCCATCTCGGCTCACAGCATCCTCCGCCTCCTGGGTTCAAGCTATTCTGCGTCAGCCTCTCGAGTAACTAGGACTACAGGCGTGAGACACCGCGCTCGGCCCCTACATGGGTTATTTTGACACAGATCTCAATGACGTCATTTTATCCATAAGTATTACAGTATGTATTTATAAAGTAAGGATTTTTAACATAACTGCAAATGCCATTAATTAGTTAATAAGGGTTGCAAGTTGGTGATATTTAAGTGTACCATTCCCTCTTTGTTAGGCGGAATAGTGATACAAGAGGTACTTCTCATCTGGTTACCTCCTAATACAGCATTTAGGAAAGGCACAGAGGATGATTGTTTCCCTTTCCCAGTTGTCAAAACACTGAGTTGCTATCACTAGCATAGTTTTGACTTTTAAACCATGAAGATATTTTACATATTTGAAAAATAAAATTTAAAGCAAGTTGACTACAAACGAAAGAAACCTACTTGTATACCAAATTGCTAACCACAAGGAAAATTTTAATTTGAATAACTTTTGAACACAGTCCTGTCACTGGATGACTTTAATAGGATATATCCTAAGAACAAAAATAAATTTTGACTTTGGTCAGTTTGTTGGTAGAGGTGGTATATAGATGTAGCAATTTTGGAACCATTTTGTGTTTATTGTAGAGTAGGTGAGGAAATACTCTGGTGTGTTGGAAACCAGGGGTTTGAACAGAAGATATGCATATAGAATGGGGAATGGAAAGAGAACTTTGTGCTACATTTACTGTAAATTATATCTTATTGATTCAGTAAATTCCAGTGGAATATGGAAATTCAAATTTAAAGATTACCCATGGACTCCTGACCTCAGGTGATCCACCCGCCTCGGCCTCCCAGAGTGCTGTGATTATAGGCATGAGCCAGGAGTTCGAGACCAGCCTGGCCAACATGGTGAAACCCTGTCTCCACAAAAAATACAAAAATTAGCCGGGTATGGTGGTGCACGCCTGTAGTCCCAGCTACTTGGGAGACTGAGGCTCAAGAATCATTTGAACCTGGGAGACAGAGGTTGCAGTGAGCTGAAATCACACCACTGCACTCCAGCATGGGCAACAGAGTGAGACTCTGTCTAAAAAATAGAAACAGATTACCCATGGACTCAAATGGATGCTGAGCCATGGGAGCCCATTTGTAATCCATTTGCTGTAATATTATGAAACATTTGGCTGAAGAAAGACAAAAGTATATGAGCTTTAGTATACTTTATTGAACTGTGTAATTCCTAATACTGTATTTCCTTTTTTTCGAAGGTAGGAGTGGAAAGGCCATTGTTAACTACCTGGTGTTTTGTGTGTTTGAGGGTTGGGGAGCAGGGCACCTGCCTGCTGTGTCTCAATTGTTGATTAGTATTTTGTGACTCAGGTAGGAAAACTTCTGGCTCAATTTGACTGATATTTTTATTTCCCCCATAGACTGAGGCCGATGTGAATCCAAAGGCCTATCCCCTTGCCGATGCCCACCTCACCAAGAAACTACTGGATCTCGTTCAGCAGTCATGTAACTATAAGCAGCTTCGGAAAGGAGCCAATGAGGGTAAGGCAGCCACAAGGTGCTCTGGGAGAATGTTAAAGGCACCTGTTTCCATGTGGGGCCTCTGGTCTAGATTTCCAATTTGGGAGGAGGAGGGCTAGCTGCTTTTGACTACAACCAGTAGGAGGTCTTTGGCATTAGATGCTAAAGCTGATGGGCTAAGAATTTTTTTTAGACCCACCAGTTATTAACATTTTGCCACATTTACCTTCTTTTTCACTCTATAAATGAATTTTATTTTTGCTGAGCCATTTGAAAGCAGTTGTAGAGACTTTGTATAGTAGCTGTATGACCTCTCCAGAGCCATCAGAAGGAAAGGGATATTAATGCTTTCTAGCATCCCTTATATGATGGATACTTAACATTCATGAATTTCATTTGGTTCCCAGAAACATTGCCTACCCCTCTCCCCTTTTTTTTTTTTTTTTTTTTTTGGATGCAATTAATCAAAAACATGGAACGTTTCACGAATTTGCATGTCATCCTTCTGCAGGGGTCATGCTAATCTTCTCTGTATTGTTCTAATTTTAGTATATGTGCTGCTGAAGCAAGCACCACCTCCCTTTGTAAAAAAAGAAAAACAGCTGTTTTTCAGTGGAATAATTATGTGTGCATGATACTTCTGCCCAGAGATATATAGGATACTCTCACTGTGTTCGTTTTTTAAAATTTTAATTTATTTATTTATTTGAGAGTTTCGCTCTTGTTACCCAGGCTGGAGTACAATGGCAGGATCTCAGCTCACTGCAACCTACACTTCCCGGGTTCAAGTGATTCCCCTGCCTCAGTCTCCCAAGTAGCTGGGATTACAGGCATGCACCACCACATCCGGCTAATTTTGTATTTTCAGTAGAGATAGGGTTTCACTATGTTGGTCAGTCTGGTCTCGAACTCCTAACCTCAGGTGATCCACTGCCTTGGCCTCCCAGAGCGCTGCTGGGATTACAGGCGTGAAACACTGTGTCTAGCCTTATTTTTATTTTTATTTTTTTCAAGTAGAGATGACATTTCACCATGTTGACCAGACTGGTCTTGAACTCCTGACTTCAAGTGATCTGCCCGCCTCGGCCTCCCAAAGTTCTGGGATTATAGGCGTGAGCCACTGCGCCTGGCTGCCCAGCCTTATTTTTTATTTTTCATTTTTGGAGACAGAATCTCACTCTGTCGCCCAGGCTGGTCTTGAACTCCTGAGCTCAGACAATCTGCCTGCCTCGGCCTCCCAAAGTGCTGGAATAACAGCAGGCGTGAGCTACCACACCCCGCCAGAATACTCTCATTTTAACAGATGTTGATGTGGTAGAACTCTTTTGTCGTTGAAGATTTTTAATGGAAACATTAGAGATTTTGTGAACCGTGTTTGAGATTTAGGAGAACTATTATAATCGCTTTTACCTGTGTTGCTGAAGGAAGATAAAGTAGACTCTCCGGGTCTCATCGTGGTACTCTTTCCTCCCTGCTCGTCACACTGCAGTAACTGCAGTGCCTGGTATAGCAGTGGCCAGTGGGGCATTGTAGGGTGACTCACCAGCTCTCCTGGGAGGTGTCTCTTCTCACTTGATGCCCTCAGGTCAACTTGACAGGGCAGGGACATGAATTCTTACACCTCAGGTAGATGAGGACTCATGGACACAGAGCAACCTTATTTCCTTTTGCTATACTTTGCATGGTGCTAGGCACACAGATCCTTGAATGGAGATGCTCAGTCTCAGTGACTCAGTTCAGAATGTGCTTACTAGGAGTTCAGGGAGGTAGATGTAGCAATTTTCCATACTTCTGCCTCAGTGTCAGGTATTCTTTCTTGCCGTATTTATTGATTGCCTGCTGTGTGCCGGGCACATGTATATATGCTGGTGACACATTGGTGAACAAAACGAAGTCTGCCTTCTTGGAGTGTACATTCCGGTGGAGAAAGACATAGGTTTTATGCCTGGTGGTAAAGAATACTGTAAAAGAGAATAAAGTAGAGAAGAGGGATAGGAATGGCAGTGGTGGGTCTTTTTAGATGGAGTATTCAGAGAAGGTCTGTCTGAGGAGCTGAAGTTTGAGCAGAGAACTGAATAGATGAGGGTGTTGGAAAGAAACGATTTTGGGCATGGTGCAAAGGCGTGCTTGAGGGACTCTCAGGAGGCTGGTGTGTGGCTGGAACTAAGTGAGGGGATGAGAGGTACTAGGAGATCACATGAGACAGTGTAAGCCACTGTAAAAGAGTCACTCCTATGACTTTTGTAGGGTGAATAAACTATAGTAATATCAATAGAAATGAACATGCTTTGCATTTACCATGTATCAGGTATTATTATTGTTTATTTTTATTTATTTTTCATAGGGTCTCTGTAGCCCAGGCTGGAGTGCATTAGCATTGATCATGGCTCACTGCAGCCATGACCTCCTGGGCTTAGGTGATCCTCCCACCTCAGCCTCCCAGGTAGATGGAGCAACAGGTATATGCCACCACAACTGGCTAATTTTTTATATTTTTAGTAGAGATGGGGTTTTGCCATGTTGCCCAGGCTGGTCTCAAACTCTGAATTCAGACGATCTACCTGCCTCAGCCTCCCAAAGTGCTGGGATTACAGGTGTGAGCCACCACGCCAGCCTCATTCTTATTAACTTGTTTAATCCTTTCAAGAATCCTATTAGGTAGAATTATTAGGTAATTAGAATTAGGTTTAAAAGAATTAGGTAATTATTGTTTTATTAGGTAGAATCCTATTAGGTAGAATTGTTTTATAGATGATAAAAGTAAGGGAAGTTAAACACCTTGCTCAAGGTCATTTGTGTAACAAGAATGAGTGCCAGCATTTGTACTCAGGCAGTGTAGCTCTAGAGTGTGTGCCCTTCTCAAGTACTCCAACATGAATGCAGAGTATTCGCACTGAGCCACAGAGGCAAGCAATCAGGAGAGTATGCATCTGAAATGGTGCTGTGGGGTGTTGAACTTGCATGGTGAGTCCCATGTGGGGTGAGCTTTCTAGAAGTATTGATTATGGCAGATTGAGATATTAAAACTCTGACTCTCAGGCAGCGATACCTTAAGAAGTACTAATTTATTAATAAACTACTACTTGCTGGTGGGGGTTTGTGGAAACTCTTGCAGTTGACAAAGCAAGAGATGATGGTGACTTGGACAAGTATAGCAGAGGAGTAGAAAGAAGTGGTCAGGGCCAGGCATGGTAGCTCACGCCTGTAATCCCAGGACTTTGGGGAGCCAACATGGGTGGATCACAAGGTCAAGAATTTGAGACCAGCCTGGCCAACATAGTGAAACAAAATTAGCTGGGTGTGGTGGCGGGCGCCTATAATCCCAGCTACTTGGGAAACTGAGGCAGGAGAATCACTTGAACCTGGGAGGCAGAGGTTGCAGTGAGCCAAGATTGCACCACTGCATTCCAGCCCAGGCGACAGTGCGAGACTCCATCTCAAAAATCTCAAAAAAAAAAAAACCAAGAAAGAAAAAAGTTACCAGATTAGGCTGGGCACTGTGGCTCATACCTGTAATCTCAGCACTTTGGGAGGCCGAGGTGGGTGGATCACTTGAGGTGAGGAGTTCGAGACCAGCCTGGACAACATGGTGAAACCCTGTCTCTACTAAAAATACAAAAATTAGCAGCACGTGCCTGTAATCCCAGCTACTTGGGAGGCTGAGGCAGGAGAATCACTTAAACCCGGAAGGCGGAGGTTGAAGTGAGCCAAGATTGCACCACTGCACTCCAGCTGTGAGACAGAACAAGACTCCATCTCAAAAAAAAAAAAAAAGTGGTCAGATTCAGGGCGTGATTCGAGGATAAGTGGTGGGTTTAATGTAGAGCTTGAGAAAAGGCCATTGTGTATGACTGACTGATGTTTGAATCCTTTATCATATCCCAGGGCTGGTCTAGGACACACACAATTGTGTGTGCCTAGGCATTCTTCCCAGTTTGTTGTGGCTGCCCTGCCCAAGCCCACATCACCTATTAGCTTCACGCCCTTCTCTCCACAGCCACCAAAACCCTCAACAGGGGCATCTCTGAGTTCATCGTGATGGCTGCAGACGCCGAGCCACTGGAGATCATTCTGCACCTCCCACTGCTGTGTGAAGACAAGAACGTGCCCTACGTGTTTGTGCGCTCCAAGCAGGCCCTGGGAAGAGCCTGTGGGGTCTCCAGGCCTGTCATCGCCTGTTCTGTCACCATCAAAGAGGGCTCGCAGCTGAAACAGCAGATCCAATCCATTCAGCAGTCCATTGAAAGGCTCTTAGTCTAAACTATGGCCTTTGCCACGTGCTCCCTGCCCCCCTGAGGTTGTGTATCATATTGTCTGTGTTAGCATGTAGTATTTTCAGCTACTCTCTATTGTTATAAAATGTTGTAGTACTAAATCTTGTTTCTGGATTTTTGTGTTGTTGTTGTTGTGTTCTACAGGGTTGTTTTCCCCCTTCCTTTCCTCCCTCCCTCTGCCATCCTTCATCCTTTTATCCTCCCTTTTTGGAACAAGTGTTCAGAGCAGATAGAAGCAGTGTGGTGGCACCGTTGAAAGGCAGAAGGAGCCAGGAAAAAGCTGATGGAGCCAGGATAGAGATCTTTCAGCCACTAGCTTCCTATTGTGTGCAGAGTGTGGTGGAATTAAACACCATTTATTAAGTATCCCTGTGCCTGGCACACAGAATCATTCATATGTGTTAAAGTGATCATGGGGTTTCCTTTGCACTTGGGCGATTATGTATCATTTGGGGGAGGAAGCATGTGTTCTGTGAGGTTGTTTGGCTATGTCCAAGTGTCATTTATTAATGTACCCCTGCTGTTTGCTTTTGGTAATGTGATGTTGATGTTCTCCCCCTACCCCCAACCATGGCCTTGAGGGTGGCAGGGCAGCAGCATACCAAAGAGATGTGCTGCAGGATTCCAGAGGCGGCCTGGGTGAGTGAGCCATGGGGCAGTTGACCTGGGTCTTGAAAGAGTCGGGAGTGACAAGGTCAGAGAGCATGAACTGGTGCTGGCATGAAGGATTTCAGGAAGATCATGGAGACCTGGCGGGTAGCTATAAACAGAGATGATGGAGTCCAAGGAAACAACCTCTCTGGTGAATGGGACTTTCTTTGGTGGACACTTGGCACCAGCTCTGAGAGCCCTTCCCCTGTGTGGTGCCACCCTGTGGGTTAGATGTACTCTCTGTCACATGAGGAGAGTGCTAGTTCATGTGTTCTCCATTCTTGTGAGCATCCTAATAAATCTATTCCATTTTGATGACAGAATGGCAGTGCCTGATTCTTAGTATCCGGCTAAAATTGTAAAGAAGACATACTTAGTATTACTAGAGTGGTGATAGCTGCTTAGACTTTTTTTTTTCCTTTGTGAAAGAGATTCACTCTTGTTGCCTAGGTTGGAGTGCAATGGCACGATCTCAGCTCACCGCAACCTCTGCCTCCTGGCTTCAAGTGATTCTTCTGCCTCAGCCTCCCAAGTAGCTGGGATTACAGGCATGCGCGACCACGCCCAGCAAATTTTGTATTTTTAGTAGAGACGGGGTTTCACCATGTTGACCAGGCTGGTCTTGAACTGCTGACATCAGGTAATCCACCCATCTCAGCCTCGCAAAGCACTGGGATTACAGGTGTGAGCCACCACGCCTGGCCACTTAGCTTAGACTTTTTTACCAGAAGGCTATGGAAGAACTGTCTCCTCCTACCAGGTAGTTTCTGCCTTGGCAGTTCAAAACGTCATACAGACTGAACTGGAGCATTGCTGTCACTGGAACTGGCTTTCTCAACCTCTGTGCTGTTGACATTTGGGGCTGGTTAATTTGTTGTGGGGACTGTACTGTGTGCTGTATGTTTAGTAGCATCACTGGCCTCTACCCACTAGGTGGCAGTAGCAGCGCCCCCCACGTTTCCAGACATTGTTAAATGCCCCCGGCAGTAAAATCACCCCCAATTGAGAATCACTGTTGGGGAATCAGGGTTTCTAGTAACCAACCCTTGGCACATGCAGGACTGGTATTGGTGACTAAAGCCACTGCCCCCTCACTTGCCTCTTCTACTTACTATCTTAAAGATAAGTCCCTTGAGAGCCTAATACCTCAGCTTGAGAAATCTTCCAAGGTGCAAATAACTGGTACCATAGTGGTCAAGTGAGAATAGATCCCCTCTTCGCCAGCTTGGACCCATATACCCCTGCTCCAGCAAGAAGCACACCAGGGGGAACCTGGGAGCCACCTTGGCCAGTTGGACCTGTTCTGTGCATCCTGGGCTGGTCATTTCTCCCAGTTTAGTCCAGTGTTCTTATCACCACCCCTGAAGCAGTTTTATATTTTTGGATGGTGGAATTTTACGCAGTGCTTACTTTTTCACAGTCGTGCATTCAGTGTTTTTGGTCGACGACAGATCACATAAATGACAGTGGTCCCATAAGATTATAATACTGTGTTTTTACTATACTTTTCCTATGTTTAGATGCACAAATGCCATTGTGTTACAGTTGCCTACAGTATTCAGTAACATGCAGTACAGGTTTGTAGCCTAGGTGTATGTATAGTAGGCTATTCCATCTAGGGTTTTTGTTTGTTTGTTTGAGACAGTCTCGCCCTGTTGCCCAGGCTGGAGTGCAGTGGTGTAATCTCAGCTCACTGCAACCTCTGCCTCCTGGGTTCAAGCGATTCTCCTGCCTCAGCTTCCTGAGTAGCTGGGATTACAGGAGCACGACACCACACCCAGCTAATTTTTGTATTCTTAGTAGAGACAGGGTTTCCCCTTGTTGGTCAGGATGGTCTCGATCTCCTGACCTCTTGATCCGCCCACCTTGGCCTCCCAAAGTGCTGGGATTACAGGTGTGAGCCACCGCGCCCAGCCGGTTTTTGTAAGTATACTCTATGGTGTTTACACAGTGATGAAATTCCCTAACAATGCATTTTTCAGAACTTATCTCTGTCATTAAATAACACATTACTTTTTTTTTTTTTTTTTTTTTTTTTAGAGACAGTCTCGCTCTGTCACCAATGTTGGAATGCAGTGGAGCAATCAATCTCAGCTCACTGCAACCTCCGCCTCCCGGGTTTAAATGATTCTCCTTCCTCAGCCTCCTGAGTAGCTGGGATTACAGACACACGCCACCATGCCCAGCTAACTTTTGTACTTTCAGTAGAGATAGGGTTTTACCATGTTGGCCAGGCTGGTCTGGAACTCCTGACCTCAGGTGATCCACCCTCCTCAGCCTCCCAAACTGGTGGGATTACAGGCATGAGCCACCGCGCCCGGCCTCTTCTGGTTTTCAATAAGACATTAAAACAAGACATTACAGAAGGGGAAACGCTGAGAGGTAAAAGGCTCATCTTCCCACGTAACCGCAGCTTTCGATGAGTGCCATTCCAGACGTTCCCTCTGCACCTGGCCTAGAAGTAAACAGACATATGTGCATCCGTGTGTTTGTTTCACTTTTGGCCAAATGGATTCGTGTTCTCGAGCTGCTGCGGCGGCCAGAAGGCACCCCGGTGCAGCTCAGCTTAGCCCACCAGACCCTCCCGCTTATGGCTCCCAGGTCCGGGAACCCGGCCCGCCTCCTCCGTGGCGTGCATGCGCAGGCCCAGGTCCGCGCTCCGCGCCGGCTATGTCGCCGCCTGGCGGATGGAAGCCCGATGGCCGCGGTAGAAGTCAAGCGCCACATGGCACTCCATGCGGATACCCAAATCCGAGGATGCCCAAGTCCCTGATATAACATGACGCAGTATTTGCATATGAGTTACGCACGGCCTCCCGGATACTTTAAATAATACTCTAGATAATTTACGATACCTAATAAAATGTAAATGCTATGTAAGTAATTGTCATACTGTATTATTTATGGAATAATGACAATTTTGTCGTTGAGACGGAGTCTCGCTCTGTCGCCCAGGCTGGAGTGCAGTGGCGTGATCTCGGCTCACTGCAACTTCCTTCTCCTGGGTTCAAGTGATTCTCCTGCCTCAGCCTCCCAAGTAGCTGGAATTACAGGTGCACGCCACCACACCCGGCTAATTTTTATATTTTTAGTAGATACGGGGTTTCGCCATGTTTGCCAGGCTGCTCTTGAACTCCTGGCCTCAGGTGATCTGCCCTCCTCGGCCTCCCAAAGTGCTGGGATTACAGGCATGAGCCACCGCGTCCGGCCGGCTAATGACAAAATTTAAAGTCTGGCCAGGCACGGTGGCTCACACGTGTAATCCCAGCATTTTGGGAGGCCTGGGCGGGCAGGTCACCTAAGGTCAAGACTTCCAGAGCAGCCTGGCCAACATGGTGAAACTCCGTCTCTACTAAAAATAAAAAATTAGCCAGGCGCAGTGGTGTGCGCCTGTAATCCTAGTACTGGGGAGGCTGAGGCAGGAGAATCGTGTGAACCCAGGAGGCAGATGTTGCAGGGAGCCAAGACTGCGCCACTGCACTCCAGCCTGGGCAACAAGAGCAAGAGTACAGGTGCAACCATCCATTTTTTTCCCCCAAGTTTTATTTATTTATTTATTTATTTAAAGACAGAGTTTCACTGTGTTGCCCAGGCTGGAGTGCAATGGCACGATCTCAGCTCACTACAACCTCCGCCTCCCAGATTCAAGCGATTCTCCTGCCTTAGCCTCCCGAGTAGCTGGGATTACAGGTGCACGTCATCATGCCCGGCTAATTTTTTGTATTTTTAGTAGAGATGGGGTTTCATCATACTGGCCAGGCTGGTCTCAAACTCCTGACCTCGTTATCCGCCTGCCTTGGCCTCCTAGTGTTGGGATTACAGGCGTGAGCCAACGTGCCTGGCCCCCAAATTTTTGATCCACGTAGGTTGAATCCATGGATGTGCAGCCTGCAGATGCAGAAGGCCAGCTGTACCTAGAGTGCCATGTTCTTTTATGTATTTTCTCATTTTCACCATGTGACGCTATTATAAGAATGTGGAAGCTAAGACTCAAAAATGCCTCATAAACTGCCCAAGGTCACTTGTATATATGATGGCACTAAAACATAAATTTGCTACATCAGCCTCATGAGCTTCCAAAGGCCTAACCAATTGCACTGGAACATGGTATTTCTTCTCTCCTGGGTGGGGAGTTCAGCAGGCAGAGAAGGCATCATTCATTTACAGAGAAGTATCACTCTGTTGCTGTTTAGCACAGACCTGGGGTGATTTGTCTTACATCCACACACCTACCTGGCTCTGGTAGGTGTTTGACCCCTGAACTCTCATTCTTTCCATTTTGGAAGTAGGAGGCAAAGGAGCATAGGCTTGGGCACGTAGTGTGCACAGCAAAGCCAGCCTGGGGCTCACTCCAGGGCTGCTCTTCAGTAGCTTCAGCATCCAGGGTTGGATACCAAGGGTTCAGTGGGGCTACTCCTTGTCCTCCTATTGCAGGTGACTGGCTGTGACTAGTGTGATTCCAATTTACCTTGGTATATTAACCCCCTGTAGAATCCAGCTTTCAAACTTGCTCCATTTAAGGGCAATGGTCCAATTTCTCAACAATTTCTAAGCATCTAATGAAGAATTATCTTCCCCTCTTGCCCACACACATAAGGAAATACAAAAAAATACAGTATCTCCTTTCAAACAAAAACAAAAGCAAAAACAGGTTACCAAAAAAACAAACAAAAAAAAACCCTATAAAGCTTACAGCCAAGAATCCAAAGCTGAGAATCTCTGAAGAGGAGTAAACTGGCACCTCCTACACTCTCTTCCTCGAGGTGCTGCTCATCCTAGTCCTGAAGGACACAGGACCTGCAAACCCTTACTCACATCCTAAAAGCAGAGCAGCAATTCCAGATGCTCTCCTTCCTTCCTTCAGGATAATTCTTCAGAAGACAGGGAGGACAGAGCAGGGATGTAGAGGAAGAAAAGGTAAAGGACACTCCTATCCTCTTCCCCTTCCTTAAATATTAGGACCTTTCCTCATCTTCTTGATACAGCTCCCCCAAAACACAAGAGGAATAACTCTTCATTTCACTTATTCTGGAACCCAAATTCTCAGGGCAACAGAAAATGGGTATATTTTTGCAAGACTTAATGTCGCATTAAGAGGAATGCAGTGAGAGGGAGTTGCTGTTTACTCATGAACCAAATGGCCCCAGAACTAAAAGTGTTACCTTCTTATTGCTTCAGAAATCTGATTACACCTTAACATGACACATTTAAAGAAAAACAGGCTAGAGGACAGAGGGTAAGAATATAATCCTGCTAGGGCTTCTTATTCCCAAAATACCTTCACCTGCCCTGACCCGTCACTCTCACCCTCCCTGCTGAT